GAGGATCAGAAACAATCAGAAGAAGAGAAACAGCAAAGAGCTGAATATGATCAAAAAATAGAGAAGATGAAGAGAGAGATTGAAGATCAGAGAATACAGTATGACAAAAAACTTAAAGAAAGAGAAGAAGAAGATAGAAAGAGAGAAGAAGAATATAAACAAGATCAAGGAAAAATTACAAATGAACTTGACCATATTATAGCAGCATTACAGATGAAACAAGGAGAGGAAATAAAAAAGAGAGATTCAGAGGAACAAATGATGAAGGAACAAGAAGAGAACAAGAGAGAAGAATGGAAGAGAAAAATAAAAGAGGCTGAAAATGACAAAGAGACTCAAGAGGAAATTAAACGACAGCAGAGAGAATGGGAGGAAGAGAAGAACAGAGAGATGAGAGAACGAGAGGACGAGGAAAGAGAGAGACACAATGACCAGCTGAGAGAAAAACAGGAAGAACTGGAGAACAAGAGAAATAATTCTGAAAGAGAGAGAGAAGAAGAAAAACAAAACAGAGAGGAGGAGAAACAACAACAGATAAGAGAGAGAAAACAGAAAGAGAGAGAATACGAAGAAAAGATAAAGGAAATGAAAAGATTTTATGAGCAGCTGGAGCGAGAGAGAAAAGAGGAGAGGAAGAGAAGAAAACGAGAGGATGAAGAGAGACGAGTGGAGAAGAGAAAGAGATGGGAGGAAGTGATGGAAGATCTGAAACGAGAGCAAGAGGAGGAGATCAAGAGAAGAGAAAGAGAGGAGACAGAAAGAATAGACAGAGCAGAAAAAGAGTGTGATGAAATGAAACAGAAACATGAAGAGGAAATAGAGAAGATGGAGAAGAAGCATCAAGATGAAGCCAGAGAACAACGAGAAGAACTGAATGATTTCAGAAAGAGAAAAGATCAGCACGTTCAGGAGCTCAAGGAGAGACTTGAAGAGATTCAAAAACAACTGAATAAAGTGAAAAAGTTAAGAATGGACCTAGAAGATAAATGGACATGTCATGTCATGTGAAACATTATTGATTAGTAATGAATTTGTAGTGAATTTGAAGGGTTTTTCGGTATTTCTCTTTCTTTCTTCGTATAATCAGGGTTATTCCCACATGCTTCTGAAGGCTCACTGTCATACAGAGTTTAATCACTTACTGTACATACCTGTCAGTTATTAAGAGATCATGCAGACCTTGATGAGGGGGTTTGATTAGAGTTAAAGTTCTGCAGGAGCAGATTTGAATATATCTGAACTAAAATGATCATACAAAATAATTTTTCTTTTGGTAGATTTTGAAAAAAAAAGATGAATTATAGCAAACCATAAAAGAGAAAAAAGATAGAAAACTGATGTGAGCTGTTCATGGACTGTAAAATCTCTCATGCAGTAGATGAAACCTAAGATGCTGATCACAATAATATCGTAACTAAAAGATGTTAAAGGAAGTTTTTATTTACTTTGGGTGTTTTCATTTAATTATTTGTAGCATCATCATTGTATTCTGAACATTATTCTGAAATTACGCTGTACTTTCACATTTTCTGTTATTTTCTGGTGACTAACACTAAAAATAAATGTCTCATTCACACAGACCATGTGCTTCTGTTAGTCCTTCATTACTGAGATGCTGAACAATAACCAATTCATATATTTTACAAACCATGTCTAGGGTCCTAGACGCGGCGCTGCGCTTCTCGTCCGGTGTGCAAACCATTTACCAAAAAAAAAGACTGAACTGAGTAAAACCCAACAAAACTTGAAAACTTATACTGTGGCAGAATAACTACATGTAATCTATTATAGTTACCCATTAACTACCTATTATTTTTAGCCTGTCTTCAACATCATCTAAAGCTCTAACTGAAACTCTGCTAAATACCATGAATAAACTTTAGCCAAGGCTACAGATACAAGTAACTTTACTGCAACTGTGTAGTAAATAATAATTAATGTCGCGCACATTCTATTCATAGGTTTCATGTGACATCACACAGTGGTGCACATATATGTAAATGTACCAGCAGGTATGGGACGATCATTATTTATGATGGAGCAATATGGAAAAGAGGAAGAAATGTAGAACATATAGTTAAGAAAGTGCAAGATGGTATTCAGCAGGTGGAGAAGTGGGGAACAAAATGGGGTTTTACATTTTCTGTAATGTTTTTTACAAGGAAGAAAATCAATGAAAGCTTTAATTTAAAACTATACGGAAGTAATTTGGAGAGAGTTAATAAATTTTGCTTTCTATGAATACATTTTGATCCAAATTTAACATGGGTAGAACATATAAGAAATGTGGAGGATAAGTGTAAAAAAGTAATTAATTCAATTTAATTAATTTAATTCATTACATTTATATAGCGCTTTTCTAGGCACTCAAAGCGCTTTACATTGTCAGGGGTATCTCCTCATCCACCACCAGTGTGCAGCATCCACCTGGATGATGCGACGGCAGCCATAGTGCGCCAGAACGCCCACCACACACCAGCTTATTGGTGGAGAGGAGACAGAGTGATGAAGCCAATTAGCAGATATGGGGATTGTTAGGAGGCCATGATGATCAGAGGCCAATAGGCAAATTTGGCCAGGATGCCGAGGTCACACCTCTACTCTTTTCAAAAGACATCCTGGGATTTTTAATGACCACAGAGAGTCAGGACCTCGGTTTAACGTCTCATCCAAAGGACAGTGCTTGTTGACAGTATTGTGTCCCCGTCACTATACTGGGATGTTAGGACCCGCACTGACCACAGGGTGAGCACCCCCTGCTGGCCTCACTAACACCTCTTCCAAATAAAGTTTTAAATATGGATATTTTTCTTACAAAAACGCATTGATTC